GTAGACTCCTGGAGCACTCAGTAGCAGTAATGCTAACCAATCAGCACTCAGTAGCAGTAATGATAACCAATCAGCACTCAGAAGCAGTAATGCTAACCAGTCAAACCCACTAGCAGTAACGCTAACCAATCAGCACTCCGTAGAAGTAACACTGTCGTCCTTATGCCCAAAACCCGTTTGCTGTAGAATGAAGTAAATAGACAGGTAAGTCTTCTTTGTTTTTTTAGTGAAATACATCCTTCTACTTTCCAATATTGAAGGAAGGTTCTGGACATGTGGTTAGAAACTATTTTAACGTTTCATTTTTAGCTGTTTATCTCCATCTACTCACATTCTTTGAGGACTTGCTCATGAGCGCCCCTTGGCATTTCACAGTCAGTCTTTGATATAATGGGAGAAATAAGAAGAGGCCAGGCTCCTCATAAACCCGCTCTGCTGCAACTACTTGAGCGGCAGGAGTTGAGTGCCTTATTTACTGTATAGTGCACTATTTTGGAGTTCCGCCATTTTGTAGTGGTGTCCAAAAATATAGTGCAGAATATCCAGCACACTCAAACAATCCCAAAATGCACCACAATAAGTAGTGTACAACTGATGTACCATAGCGGATAGGGGATACCCATAGTGCAGGGTGTTACTGCAGGAAATGAGCAAACCTGTATAACGTTAGTGTCTGAAATCGTTTACTACTATCACAAATTCTGTTCCCGGCATGGCACGGCTCTGCAACCAGAGAACTTGAAGAGAGGATGATTACCACTCTGTAATGTCTTCTGGCTTTCTCAAATGCTAGAGGGCGCTACCGAGCGAGTCCAAAATGAATAGGTTGCGATGGAGCATTTGAGTAAAATCATAGTTTATAAATATTTAAACATTTTAATATAAAAGAATATTCATTTCCTGAACACAGAACACCATAAAACATTTAACACTGCTGTTCTATTTTTAAGAGCTTTTGAACTCCAGTTATAAGAGTTTAAAATGGCGCCCCATGTACGTTCATGACGTCAATATGCACGAACAGCCAATAAGCTGCACCGCTGGCCAACCAATCAACACTCAGTAGCAGTGATGCCGCCTTCTGCTGCCCAAAACACATTTGCTATAGAAAAAAGGAGCAATATAGGTAAGTGTTCTTTGTTTTCTCAGTGAAATACATCATTCTACATTCTAAAATTAAAGGAAAGTTCTGGGTGAGTGATTAGAAACTATTCTAACTTTTCGTTTTTAGCCATTTAGCTCTGTTTACTCCAATTCATTGAGGACTCGCTCGCGGGCACCCCCTGGCGTTTTGCAATCATGATTTTGATATAATGGGGGAAATAGGAAGAGGCCAGGCTCCTCATAAACAGGCTCTGCTGCAACTGCTCCAGCAAGAGGAGTCCAGAGAAAACCCAGAATAGGGCTCCTGGAACAAGTTGCACTCTGGCACCCTCATGTGTACAATTCAGGAATAGTCCTCAAGGTGAATGAAAACCCTGCCTGATAAAATTTCAGTTGTTCATCAGAAATGAAATTAACATTTTTTAACCAAAATCATTGGTCAAATACGTATGTATTTGTGGTTTAACAGTTAACCAGTTAATTACTAACATTCCTATCTGTCTGCACATACAAACCTCAAGTATGGGGATGGGGTGAAAAAACCTGGTTCTCACATGGTCAAAAATAAATGGTGGAAAAACAAATAAGAATTAGTTTTAAAAATGCTCTTTTCATGACCAGCATCACACTGAAATGTATTTATGAGATACTTTCTATGAAGCAGTATCTAATAATCATGAGAGGTTTCCTCATTACAAGTTATTGCTCGAGAATTGTATCATTTTGAGAATTTTTCTTTTTTATAACATAAAAAGTCGTAAAAAAACATAATTAGCCACTTGGACCCCCTAGATGTTTCTGCAGTGTCTTTGAAAATAAACATATTATGTTATGTTGTGCTGTGTGACTGATGAGTGTAAGTTTGCGTTCCCAAATTTGAAAAGAGCATTTCCAAAAGATACTGGCAGAAACAGGCTTCCATACTTTTGCCTCATGTTGTCAGGTCTGGTTCTCAGACTGTAGACAGAACTAAGATTTCATGTCCATATTTGACTCACAGTCACAGATCTGGCAAAGTCATCAGCAAATCCCATAAAAAACACAGTATGACACAATTGATCACAATTTGACAGAAAACATGTCTGATGTAGATGATGTCTTACAAAATACAGTTTATTGAAATTATCAAACTTTGCAGGGAAATAAACTAGCCGGACCTTGCCTGGGTCAGTACCCCTCTGTCCTCTGACTGTGCAGTAATGTTACATCCTTGCCTGAGAATTCCAGGGGAAGCCACTAGATGTCCGTGTCTACTTGGTAATCGCTTATCTATACACTGTAAATCATTTCTACAATAATGTACTGTATGTGTTTATTAATTTTACACAGTATTCCAGCATGTTGACATTTGGGAAACATTAACAATGCAGGCAGATTATACTATATTAAACAATTTACTGTATGACTACTGTCATTTAATTGTAACAATATTATAATAACACATCAAAACATATAGTATCATCAGCTAGACTTAGCTTTTTATCTAGATCTCCAAAATGATCTGAATGCATGCTGGTTGTCAGCACACAGGCTGCTTACATTTCAGCCTTATTGAGCTAATCCAGGCATGACAGCTATTCAAAACACTTAGGATCATCATCCACACTGGGGTCTGGGACCCCATAATTAGCCACTTGGACCCCCTGGATGTCTCAAAATGAAAATTCTGAGGTGTTTTTGAAAATAAACATATTATGTTATGTTATGCTGTGTGATTAATGAGTGTAAGGTTGTGTTCCCAAACTAGAAAAGAGCATTTCTGAAAGATAAATTGTTAAACCAAACAGTCTGCAACCACTGAATTTAGCATTAGCGTCGCTATGGTAAGTGAGTCAGCAGCCAGCTGATGCTGGAGTCGCCAGCCAACATGGGACCCCTTGAATACCAGGGAGTATTTCACACATGGACTTAAAACCCAGAAAGAAATAGGGGCCAGTTTGCTTTGGTCTTATTATTAGGAATTCAATGCAGAGAGTGACCGAATTCCTCCTGCAGTATTTGGAAACAGGGTTATCATCTCATCATAATTGTTCACAATGGTGGTGATAGGAACCAGACGTCTGAAGAGTTTAATGTATCTCCAAGTTACATCACAAAGTTATGACATGAAATGATTTTGAATACACTGCCTCATGTCCAAGACATCCTTCTTTGATAGTTTTTAGATAAATCTTTGGACTACAATGTACTTTATAAAATCTACCAATGGTCAGGAGATACATGTAGGGTGTTATAAGGCAAGGCTGTCCTCGAAGAAAACTTTTTTTGGTCAGATTTACCACCATTTTATCATCATTAACATTACAAATAAAAACTCAGCAGACTCGTGTAGGTTCACTGGTGGTTTTGGATAGTAAATAAAATGGCTATATTTGTGCTGTAGACATTGTGACCCCTGGTTCCTATCACCACCACTGTAAGGAAATCTGAATCTGTAAGTTTCTCTACAAATTAACCATTTCATATATGTGTGTGTGTGTGTGTGTGTGTGTGTGTGTGTGTGTAAAAATACATAACATAATACATATGTACGTATGCATTATATGTTAAACTAAGAAAATGAAAATTGCGCACTAAAATATGCAGATTCAAGAAAGCATAAGCATATCATGTAAAAATGGTCTTCTACCTTCATCATTCAGAAAGGGAGATGCACATTTACGTACTACAGTAAACTCTGCAATTTTAAAAGGGAGGAAAACATATATTGCTTTATTTTTATATATTCTTTTTATGTTTAATTTTCCAACATTCTTTATGCCTTTGATATCACTTTGTACACTAAAAACTTAATAACACTCAAACTGTAAGAGGATCTCTTACTCCTCACCATGTCTGCTGTGTTGCAGTACCACACTTTAACCAGCAGATGGTGGCATTGAAAAACAAACCACAGATTGAATCTGTATGGTACATTTCTGTGTTGTGTTCCTACTGGGTTGAAGTGGTCTTTGACCTTTGGAAATGTGTAAACGAATGTGACTCAAGCCTTCAGCTTGGTTATCAACATTTTAGAATTTTCAGAAACATGAACTTTATTGATGACATTATGCTCATCAACTAATAGTGGACTCATTGATTTTTTTTCTGACATAACATACCGTCCCAAAACATCAAACATCCCATATTCTAATACACTAATAATGTTCCCATGCGACCCATTTAAAATGAAACAAATTGTTAAATGCTGTCAATATATTCCAAAATCTGCATAGAATATATTGTTTATATTTTCAATAGTTTACACTTTCTTAAATAGGGATGTAACCACACTGTCCTATATCGCCTAACCGTCTCATATTTCCTCCTCTAATACCTAACACCAACATTGTCTCTTGTGATCTAACACACTATCTCATAATACCACCGCTGTCTGTTAAGGTGTAACTCACTGTCCCATAATATCCAACACACAGTCTCTTATGACCCAACACACTGTCTCATAACACTTAACACACAGTACAGTGAATAAAATGGCTATGTGTTCTGTTAACATTGTGACCCCTGGTTCCTATCAGCACCACTGTCGAGAAATCAGTCAGTAAGTTTCTCTACAATGAACCATTTCACAACAAACCTCTCTGAATGACACTGTTTACATCTCTGCTATTGAATTATGCTGGAATTTTAAAAGATCAGTGGAATTCCCCTTCCACATGCAGCTGAGGGGGCCTTTAACACTGACCCAGCATAGGAGGACAATGCTAATTAGTTAATGTGTTAATCAGGTGTTTTAGATGAGGGACAGCACAAAAAAGCACACTGTGTAGGGGTCCCAGGACTGACTCAAGCCACGCCCCCTGCGAGCGCGCGAACATGGAAAGAGCCAATAGGGAGCGAGCTGTCGCCGCTTGTCTCCGTATAAAAGCTCCCCAAAACAGCCAAGTTGGTTGTTCGCGATGGAGTTTAGAGAGTTTAGCTCGGACGAGGGGGAGCCGGAGGACCTGGACAGTGTGAAGGCGCTGACCGCCAAGCTGAACCTGGAGACCCGGCGGCCATCGTACGTGGAGTGGCGGGAGCGGCTGCGGAGCCGAGCGGCGGGGGGCGGCAGTGTGGAGGCGGCGGACGGAGCCAGCACCGTGTGCGGCTTTGACACCATAGACGAGGCGCTGGAGTGGCTGAGGAGCGAGCTGGTGAGGGAACTGCTCGGTTCTTCTTATGACTTTTAGAAATTATAGACGTTTTACGTTTTTTTTCAGTCAGAACTCGCTGTTTCTCTTCAGGTAAACACTGAAGTCAGCTTCTTATTCGCTACCTGCTTGTTCCAATTCACTCGTTCCACCTTAAATGGTGCAGCAGTTACATTCTGGCTCAATTTAAGGTGGAACTAGAAAATTCGAATTGGAAGCTAATTAGAGCTTCGTCGGTTAAAACGTGAGGAGCACAAATTTAGGAGGGTAGAGCCGCCTCAGCTGTGCTGAAATACAGGTGCTGTCTTCAATTAAATAACGTCTAAATTTGCAGTGAAAGTAGCTTCACTGAAAAAAACTACAGTAAAAACAGTCTGTTACAGAAACTGCTCCGGTACTGAGCTCCAATGCAGCTTCTTAGTACATCCAGCATCTCTCAGTACAGGAACTGAAGTTTGAGAGGCGCTGTTCTTCACTTTTTGGGATTATGTCGTTTTTTCAGATCACTCTGTCTTACAGTGTATCCATACCTGTCTTTAGATCTTCTACAGAAGAATGTGAGATTTTTGGTTTGTCACATTTGTAATAGACTTTCAATCATTTCTATCTACTAGGGCTAAAAGAGGAATCTTTTTTTATATTAAAATCACAGTCATAAAGAGTGCAGTTCTTAAATTCACAAGAGCCACAATTTTTCTTGTAGAATTCATTATTAACAGTGTTGTCTTAAACTTTAAATCTACTAACACTTGTGAACTGCCTGTAGATGAGTTAGACCAATCAGAAGCACCAAAAACACCCATGTTCTATATATGTGACATCACAACCATCACAACTAACTGGCAGTCTGGCACACTCAGCTTTCAAGCTTCATGCCAGGAAAAGAGGATATTCTGGTCTTTTTGGCCAAAAAAGGCATGGAAATTGATTCATAGCAGATAATTGCTCTTGTGATTGCAGTATTGGTCAGAAAAATTGCAATTAGATATTTTCCTCAAATTATTCAGCTCCATAATCTATTCTCTGGCTATGAGTTAGAAAGTTTGCTCCTTTTTTCCCAAAAATCGAATGGGGTATTAGATGTCTAAAATACACACAAGCACACATGACTATACCGTTTCCCTCTTTTCAAAAAGAGGATTTCTGAGGGTTTTTAGAAAAAAAGTAAGTTGAATTCCACTGATTTTTCTAAATATCTTAATAATTCTGTGGTCATTCAGAGTGGTTTGACATGAAATGCTTCACTGTAGAGAAACTTACAGATAGGAACCAGGGGTCTCAGTGTCTACTACACAAACATAGCCTTTTATAAGTAATTTGCTAATATTTAAATGTTGATGAATCGTTTGGCCTATTTGGATTACAGTGCCCTGCATGAACCTCTCTGCTATGAATGGGATTTTAAAATATGTTTAATGCCATTCTCAGGCATCAGGCAGCATAATTGTAAACACTTTGTATAATAACTTTGTCAGGAAGCTTTTAGAGGCATTAAACACTTTGGACGTCTGGTTCTTGTCACCACCACTGAACAATTCTGACTCTAAGTTTCTCTAGAACGGAGCTATTTACATCAAACCCAACTCCAAATAACTTGGTTTTATTCTGCAGATATTGTGAAACATCGATGGAATTCCCCTTTAATTAATTAACTACTTCATCTACATCCAGGGAGAAGCTGTACTGTGGTTTGTTTGCACTAAAGCTGTGGGCGAGGCTGCGCTGTGCACCATTATAAATGGTGGGAATCAACTATTTTAATAACATCTGGAATAAAAACCAGTGAGCCTAGTCTTTAATAATATCCCAAGGCCTACGCCCATTTCACCACTTGTGATTTGGAAGACACTTTTAGGTCATGTATATGTCATCAGATTGTTTACTACATTTCTGGGATGAGTTATTACATCCTCATTTGACTGCATATGATTGAATGCAAGAGGCACTTAAACAAACAGGGCTCTAGATCTCCCCTGAAAAAGGACTGATTACTCAGGTTTGTCAGATACAAATGCTGAGCAATCATAGATCAGTGGACATAAAAGCCTTTCTTTGAGATTACAGCTCTGGGCGTAACTGTTGTGACAATATTTACTTAGTTTGCTCACCTTTAAATCTCATCCAGGTGCACCAGCATGTACTCGTGGCGCAGGTGTGCGAGAAAGGTGATCGGCCTCGCCGGAGTAAGAGTGCCTGAGCCAGTCACGACACTGGTTCCGGACTTCAACATGTAATTTAGCCGTTTTAAGTAGCTAAAATGTATAAGCTCTCGGGAACACAAGTCGAGGCAGTGAAACGTGAGGTCACATGACTGTATCAGCTCACACAAAGGCCAGCTGAGGTTTGTGAAACACGTTCCAGCAAGGCAGGAACCACGGGTCGAGTTTTCTGGTGTCATGTGTTTCAGTGGTGTGATTGGAATAATCCTGGTATTTGTTTACATGACAACAACACTGTAACTCTAAGTTAATCAGACCTGCAATTTAGGCTGTTGGACTGCTAATATCTCAGAAGCCTGCAGTATGCAAATGAGGCCCCCTGCCAACTTGGTGTGTATGGATGAAGTGGAATTCCACTGTTTTCCCAAAAATTCTATATAACTCAGTCATTACAATGTAAACAAAGTCATTCAGAGTGGGTTGATGTGAAATGCTTCGTCAGGCTTGTTGACAGTGGTGGTGATGGGAATAGTCTCGAAAGAAGACTTTACCACTATTTTACCATCATTAAAGTTACAAATAAACACACAGAATAACGTGTAGGTTCACTGGTGGTTTTGGATAGTATATAAAATGGCTATATTTGTGTTGTACATGGTGACCCCTGGTTCATATCATCACCACTGTAGAGTCAGTAAGTTTCTCTACAATGAACCATTTCACATCAAACCACTCTGAATGACTTTTTCATCTCACTCAGAATTCTCTATGAATTATGCACACATTTTCTCCTCATATGATCCAACAAATGTAAATAATTTTGGTCAACATAAACTACTCTTTAACCGTGTCACATATAAGGTTCATTATTGTTTATATCATATGACATATTGCAGTTTTGATAAATATCAACAGAATCATAAGTTGTAAGCTTGTGAAAACACTAAAGGTCTTTCTCATCTCCTTCTTTCACATTTCTTTTTTTACATAGTTTCTGTTCAGGAGCCAAATAAATGACTTCAAATACAAAGAGCTCCATTGTTATCTCAATAGCTCCGTATACATCTGTTGCAAAAAACATGTTGTTAACCATCATTAATGTGAAGTATATAGTTAATGTCCTTTATTGTTTGAATGCAGTGTGTCTATCTTTCTGTTTCAGATACTATAAAACGTCTATAAAACAAACTACAAAACTAAGCAATTCTACTGCTGTATTTTGTTAAACTGTAAATCAGGGTTTATGCAACTCAGTCAAGTGGCATATTCATTTTATTATCAGGGTAATGGCTTTAATCCCTGTGTGAAACGGGAAGAACATTAATACATTAATGTTCTTAAGGCCTACTATACATTAATATGTTAATCTTTCCTTTGCCAGTCTAATAGCCATCTAAACATTGGCCTGATGATTAGGACATTGCGAGTTTGATTCCTGGCAGGGCCACGGCTATCTGTGGCCAGGAACTCAGGAGAGCATGACTGGCCTCGCTCACTCTGAATGGGTAGCACAGCATTTCCTCCACCTCCTTCAGCATGATTCTAGCCAAAGCAGGTATCTGTTAGTTGATATAACAGTAAAGGCGCTTAGCGTTCTCCTCCAAGCGTGTTGAGCTGTTCAGTGACGTTGCATTAACGGTGTCTTTGAGAAAGCATGTGCCAGCCTTCACCCTCCTAGCTTGTTAGCATCATGTGATGGAGGGAGACCTAACTAACATGTGGAAATGGACAAAATCTGTGCTTTATAGTATCCCAAGCTAATGCTCCAGGCACAAGCTAATATGCTAGCCCTAAGCTTACACACAAGCACAAGCTAACGTAGTCACAAGACAGTGATACGATACCATACAATACTCTGCAGCACAATTTAATACAATAAATGTTGTTGTTTATATTTGCTAGCAGTAACTGAAATACTGCAGAGTAATTTGGTTTTTCTTGGTTTATGCATTGGAGCACAGCATTGTCCAGAAAAGACCCAGACAGCAGACAGTTTCAGAACAATTTTGCCTTTCCTATGTCAGAGTTGGTTGACTACCAGATGTTAGATGTGCAGGCCAAAAAAGGATGAATAGATGCTGACAGCTTTGTACCGTTTTATCTTGTCTAAATTTGTGGGCCAATTCTGATATGAATATCGTGGACCAGTAATGTGTTGGGCCAGATTTGGGACATACACTAGTTCTACTCACTTTACAGTGTGTGGGTCAGATCTGGGCCGCTGTATACTGGGCCTGAAGTGTGTTGCCAGAATTTTGCTAACTGGGTATGGTGGCATTATCTCCAAACATTACTCATAGGTAAGCTACAGTTCATGACTCATCATGCCTGCCTTTGCTAACTTGCCTGATAAGGGTGTGTTGTAGATCTGACTTTCTTCACTGTCCTCTGTGAAGGAGAGACAGGCTGTCTCGCTCTTTCTGAAGACAGTCACTGACGTAATAGTTGGGTTTTGTTTTGTAAAGAATCTGCCTGTCTGTCTTTTCACTCTTATTGAAAAATATTCATGTGGAAATCTTTTCTAGCCCACATGGCTGGCTTGTTTATTACCATTTTATGAGATGCAGTAAATCATATTGGACTTGGTCAGTGTTTAAATTGAAATGGGGAACTAGAAGAAAATGACTAGAATGATTCCGGGAAAGTTCCCAGATGACATGGGGCAACTAGGGAAGCAGTGATATTGCAAACTGGCAGATAACTGTTATAATGTTATAAAATAATGACCTGTCTGATTATTTCATTTGACCAATAATTCAAACAAATATTTGATTATGGATTTACTGTATTCTGGAAGAGCAGACTGTTTTGGCGACAGTGGACTATGTCTATTTTCAAAATGTGGCCCAAGCAAAAGTATAGGCCCTTGTGGCCTATACCTGGTTCTATGCCTACTCCCTCTCTGTAACTCTCTCATTTTCATCCCTGCTCCTGTCTTATATTTCTCATTCTCCCCCACAACCCAACACCATCCCCTGCTCACATCTTTCCTCTCTCTCTCCTCCGCAGAGGGAGATGCAGTTGCAGGATAACCGTCTGGCCCGGCAGCTGATCCGCTTGCGCGGGGAGATCCACCAGCTGAAGGTAGAGCAGACGTGTCATCGACACAAAGAGATGCTGGACGACGCCACGCTGGAGCTCGAAGAGTGCGGCGAGGAGTCTGACCTGCTCTGTGACATCCCGCTGAAGGCCGCCTTCACCCTGTCCACTCCACTCAAACACCTGGGCCTCACCAAGATGAACCTCAATGCCCGGCGCTTCTCCCTCTGCTAGAAAGGGAGGAAACTGACTTCCTCCCTTCAGCTACAAGCACAAAAAGTCTCCTGTTCTCAAAGAACAAGCCATGACACTTGCAAAGAAGATGCCAAGTCTTAGATCAGGGATATTCTGTTCACAGTCTTTGAAGTTCAAGGAACTGTAATTTATCTGTTAGCATTCCTGATTAAAGGAAAGATAATGGCCAATCAGCTGCATTGTTAACTAGCAGCGATTGCTATAAACAGGGCCTGATCTATATACAGGACCTTCTGAACTACATAATGTGTGGTGTACAAGTTTCATGGCTTTCACCACACTACTGAAAGGGGTAAAGGGCTAAGACTCATGCTCAACCCTACGGGACTAAAATAAAAACCCCAAGGGTGAGGCCTAATCTCTTTTCTTGATCTTTTTCTTTTAGGGCAGGATAGTCAGTGGTAAGGGCTGCTTGTTGGCTTAGTGCCCCATTGGATTAAATCCCAATTCCAGTGTAGATTGTGAGAGTCATTTAGAGTAGCGCCCTTGAAGCCTTGGGCACTCTTAGCCTTTGTATTTCAACAGCAATGTGATCCCTCTCTCTTTCAAAGGAGTTTGAGATCGTATCGTTGCATGTTGCATGCTATCACCAGAAGGCCTTATCTGCAGATCAGCTTTGTATATGCAAAACATTTCAGGAGATATACAATGTTCTGTATCCACCACCATCTGACTGAAGCTGGAATCGAATACCTGCTTGATTCAGCTGAAAGGTCAAGACACAAAATACACAATCTTTACCTATATTAAAATAATAGGAGTTGTAATTAGAGCGGAAGTAGGTGTGGAGACGGGCTGGTCATAGGAGAAAAGGCTTTCTCTCTGTCTGCCCCCCACTTTCTTATTCTCATCCCGACTTGGCTACTGTTCCAAACAGCAGTCTCACAGGAAGCATGAGGTCCTGGTCAGGATTACAGACACTCCATCACTCGAGACCAAAAATAACTGCACTGGCGAAAAGTCAGATATGAGCTGAGAAATTTGAGCCCGTACATTGATCCAAGAACAGTTTTGTCTCAACATTGAAGACTCAAAATGCTCATGTTGCTGAAAATTAATGAAAGATCATAGAGGCCAGAAAAGTTAATGTTACTAATAGTGAGTGAACGATAATGAGGTCCAGGAAGCATGTAGTGGTCACAAATGCTAGTGTTGCTAAAAGTAACTGAAAGCTAAAAGTGACCAATTGTGCTAGTGTTCAGGAATTGCTAATAAAGAAAGAAAGTTAATGGGGTCCAGTAGCAATACAGTAGCCAGAAATGCTGGTGTTGCTTCAAATGAAAGAAAGTAGGTGCCAGTTAGCATCATAGTGGCCAGTTAGCCTTTGCAACTTTTTCATGTTAACTGTCATTCCTTCTTGGCCTCATTAGCATTTGGCTAAAGTAAGTTTTGTAGGCACAACTCTGAACAGTGGGAACTGATTTTGGACTGGTTTTCAGTCGGTACAGGTTAGGCTTAACCCTCTTTAGACGTTCTTTAGAGTGCTCCAGCAAAGGCTAACATTTGAAACCTAACACAAGCAAAGCTAGTCTGTGTAATACTATATTATTTTTCACAAAGCTTATTTGACAGAAGAGAGCAGTGCAGATCTTTCCATGCATCTGTCTATAGCTAGCATTGATGTATATAATCCAGTAACCAAAATGCACATTTTGAGACAAAATAGCTTCAATTGAGAGGTAGTTCAGTTGTTACTGAAACTGGGGCTAGCACAGAATCTTTAGGCCTGCTGGTGGACATCATTGCACATTTCTCGATGGTGTGAAACAGGGGGCAAACTGAATGTTCTTCCATATGCTTATTTCTGTACCTTAGTTCTGAAGCTTTATTTCAGGACAGTACAAAAACATTTATTTTTATTGTAGACTGTAATATTGATAGTATTGATTTGCTATAATATGCAGTGTGTTATAGTAGTTTTTGAAATGTGTGGCTGTTTAAGGGCATTTTGGGGGCAACACGTGTTTTGCAAAATGTTTTTTTAAACAAGCAGTTTAAAGAATGTGAAACCTAAGGCGCTTTGAGTAAGTGAGAAGCTGCAGAAAGCCACTCTGTTTTCACTGCTTTCTTGCAAGTAAAAAGCTCAAGGTCTTCAGTCAGAAGAGTGTAAAATACCACACCTTCTGTATTTACACCCAAGTACTTAAATTTCACAGAGCTGTGCAGAATAGTGTTGTAGTTTTGAACTCCAGCCTCAAACAGTTTAAAGGGGAAGTTCATTGATTTTGTATATAATTTCTGCATAATTCAGTCACTGAGCTGTAAACGAAGTCATGCAGAGTGGTTTGATGTGAAATGGTTCACTGTAGAGAAACTTACAGACTCTGATTTCTGTACAGTGGTGATGAAAACCAGGGGTCACAATGTCTACAACCCAAATATAGCCATTTTATATACTATAAAAAAACTACCAATGAACCTAAACATGTCTTTATGTTTTTATATGAAATATTGAAGATGGTAAAATAGTGGTAGATCTGAAAAAATAAGTTTTCTTTGGAGCCTATTTTGCCGCACAACACCTCACATGCACCTCTCCACTATAAATAGATTAAAAAATAAACATTTTAGGCCAAAATCATATCTCAAAACTATCATCAAACAATATTTCAGGTATCAGGCAGCATATTCATAATTATTTCATGTGATAATCTTCTGTGAGGAAGCTTTAAAGGGAGCATTAATCTCTTCAGATGTCTGGTTCCTATCACCACCACTGTAACTCTAAGTTTCTCCAGAATAGAGCATTTTACCCCAAACCACTCGGAATGACTGTTTAGAATTTAATCACTTAATTATGCAGATTTTGAAAAACAGGTGTTCAGTTTCTTCTTTAGATTCTTCAGAACATTTTTCTGCTGAAATACATTCACTGTCCTTGAATGTCATGGTTTTTGAACATCCCTTGCTACTGCCACTTGTAAATAAAAACAAATCGTGAGTGACTTGTGGCCTCATTACTTTCTTCCGCATTAAAGTGTTTCTCAAGTCGCCGTGTGAAGTAGGGCGTGGGAAAGGACAGAGAATCTCTGTAATGCAGCCTGCAATGTGAACTTAATGTAATCTCTAGAGTACAAAGAGTAAAAAACAGTAGCCCTGTCCATACTTTATGGAAACTGTTGAGTCTTCGCACATCCTGCAGTGAATAATGTCAAACAGACTGAAAGGGTGGAAGACGGCTGAAGGAATCAGAGGTGCAGCCCTATGTAGGTGCCTAATTTAGGCTTGTACAACTGAAAAAGAAGCAGTCAGAAAAAAGTGACTGGTAGACAGTTTTCCTCGCTTTGTTTAAAAGCATGTATCAGCGCATCCTGTTATGAGTAATCCTAACTCTCCAGTGTCGGCTTACAATAATATCGGATTCATTTCACCTTCAGCTCAGCCTCCAGAGGGCAGCCTTTTATCTAAAGGCTCTGAAATGCACCCAAATGTAGGCCAACGCTATCCTGTTACACGAGTGGGGAAAAGCCTTGGAGAGATGAAAGAAATCAAGTTTAAAATGTATTTTTTTGTGTAACATGAAGGTATTATAGTGAAGCAATGAAAATAGGACATATTTATTTCAATTATTTATTTTACATTCTTTTAATTATAGTGGTATGTACATATCCACTGCTGTCGGAACAAAACGATACAAAGCCTTGTATCTCCAATTTTAAGATGAATGGACAAAAAGGAATGGCCCAAAATTTTTTGGAAAAAAGTAGGGTTACATTCACTTCCATTATAAATAAAGTACTCACTGTCCACTCTATTAAACACTCCTACCTTGTCAGTCCACCTTGTAGAAGAAAAAAACAGAAACAGATGGACTACAGTCTGTAATTGTAGAACCACAAAGTGCACCTATATAGTAAGTGGAGCTGATAAAATGGACAATGAAACAAGGAAGTGGTCATAATGTTATGCCTGATCGGTATATATATATATATATATATATATATATATATATATACACACAAAATGCAATATAGACCACATGTGAAATTTTTACTTTTTTTATGATGTACATTGTCACCTTTATTAGACTTCCATTCTTTTCAGGAGACTCACTTTCAGTTTTCACTATATTTATCCACACCTTCAAAGTTCAGTCTTAGAAGTTGGTTGTATTTTCTGTTTCTCACAATCCAAACAGTCCCAAACACCTTCAGTGATGCTGAGGTCCAAACTGCTCCCTTTTCTCAGTAAGAGCTTCCTGACAGCTACACATCCTTTCAGACCCATAGCGCTGAGTTGTCTTCTCACAGTGGAAGGATGGACAGAAACACCTTTTTCAGATTTGAAGCAAGTTTTGGTTGCACAGGTCACTTGCACAGTTATTAAAAGTCCCATTTTATCATTTTATGTATAATATTTATTTATTTATTTTATGAAAGTGGATAATCTTACATGTAATGTTCTGAGACATCTATCTTGAAAAAGGAATAACCGGCATACATATATATAAAACGGCCTTCGCAGTGATGGAGCAAATAGGGTTAACCCAATTGTTCTTAGTGACAATAAATGCCACAGTGTAAGGAATAATAGAGATGTGCTGGTGAAGAGAGAGGAATGTTTCCCGAGGCTGTTTTCTTTATTGACACTGCCAAGCACTGTAGCTCAAATTGCCAGCATTTCTTTTGCATGACATCAGCTGCTTTGCACATCAGCTGGTGCTCACCTGAGGGCTGCATGAGGCCCAGCATTTCCTTTAATCTTCCTCCACAACAGCAAGACATTTTGCTCTTTACATGTCCAATCTGCCATAAAACATCTACCTTGTGTTTCCACTCATTTAAGACCTTAACAGCTCCGCCTACCTTATAGGTTCACTACACAGGTGTACACTTACAGAACGTAACCAAAACATTCACCTAGATAAGGTTCATTAAGGTATTACGGGCCTTAAGAGGGACGACTTGTTAAATGCATTAAACAAATAAACAAGCAGACCAACCAATCCTCACTCGCTGGCCACTTTATTAGAAACCCCTCACTTGCAGCTCCACTGGTGTACAGTTAGACACTATATCTCATCTGTTGATGCACAGTTTGTACGAGCCATCCTCTATCCTTTCATCAGTGGTCAGTTTCTGTCCACAGAGCCGCTCTTGGCTGGATATTTTTGGATGGTGGACCGATCTCAACATAGCAGTGACCGAGCAAAGGAGGTGGAGCTCAAGAAGTGACCAATTTCCTAATTCAGATGGGTGTTCAGACACATGGAGACACCATCCGTCGTCATCAAAGGTTCTTCAAAGCAATGTCACCAAAGTTCCCTAAAGAACTTTTCAATAGAGGGTTCTGTAAAGAGCATTTTTTCCTAAGTGAGATATGTGAAGAACCTTATTAAAGTTGAAAGAACCTACTTATAATGTAAATGTTCTACGAAGAACCCCCAAACTGGTTAAGAACCTATACACTGTGTGAACATAACATGTTTACATGTGGGCAGCATTCTGTGACCACTGATGGTAGCAGTTGCACCTGTTGCACTTGTGGTGGAGTGTTAGTGTGTGTTGCGCTGGTACAAGTGGATCAGACACAGCAGTGTTGCACCTCACTGTGTCACTGCTGAACTGAGAATAGACCACCAGCCAAAAATATGAGTTACTGTCTATGACTTTACATCTACAAGGTGGACCAACAAGGTAAGAGTGTCTAATAGAGTGGACAGTGAGTGGACACAGTGTTTAAAAACTCCAGCAGCACTGCTGTGTCTGATCCACTCGTACCAGTGCAACACACACTAACACACCACCACCATGTCAGTGTCAGTGCAGTGCTGAGAATGATCCACCACCAAATAACACCTACCTATGGGGGTCCTGTGGGGGTCCTGACCTTTGAAGAACAGGGTAACAAAGTATGCAGAGAAACAGATGGACTACAGTCTGTAACTGTAGAACTACAAAGTGCCCATATATGATAAGTGGAACTGATAAAAACGGACAATGAGTGAAGAAACCGGGAGGTGGACTTAATGAAGTGGCTGGCCAGAGTAAAGACTGTACACCAGTTCAAGATTTTTCCTAGAACCTTAAATCCAAACCCAGAACCCTTTAAGAGCCTTCATCTGTAATAGTGTATGTGTTGCTAAGATCAAAAGGACCATCTTTGGTTAACAGCTCTTGTAGAGTGAATTTCAGGTATCATCAGTTCAGGGCATTGAGACTGAATTGTATATGATTATATATTATATGATTTATTAGACATAATTCTATAATTCTACAACCACATAACCACAAAGTGACAAATGAAACAGTCATGAGCTCATATAACGAGGCCAGTTGAGAGCCTCAGCTCAGGAAATGTTCTTGAAACAGAGGTTGACGTTAACCATCCAGAAGTGGAGGAATAAGTGTGTTTAGAGTCTTGCTCGTGCGTCTTCCTGTTGAACTATGAAGCTAATTTCCTGCATACGTCTTGGCTGACTTCCTGCAAGCGCATGCATTATCTGCCGCCCGTGACCGCAACAAATATGACTGCGGTCGGCAGAGTGAGAGAGAGAGAGAGAGAGAGAGAGAGAGAGAGAGAGAGAGAGAGAGAGAGAGATACAAGAGAAACAAAAAGAAAGCAGAATAAGACATAGGAACAGAAACATAGTGAGAGAGAGAGAGAGAGAGAGAGAGAGAGAGAGAGAGAGAGAGAGAGAGAGAGAGAGAAGCAAAACAAAAAGAAAGAAGAATGAGAGAAAGAGCCAGAAATATAGTGAGAGAGAGAGAGAGAGAGAGAGAGAGAGAGAGAGAGAGAGAGAAAGAGGGGGCATTAACAAAAGAGAGGATTGAGAAAAAGAGTGAATTAATAGGCAAAGCTCGAGAAGAAGAAAGGATAGAGAGAGACCAAGAGAAATAAAGAAAGGAAGAAAAATCAAAGGAAGGAAGTAGAGAAGAGAATGAGAGAAAGGCTTAAGAGAAAGAAAGAAAGAAAGAAAGAAAGAAAGAAAGAAAAAAGAAAAGAGACAGATGAGTGGAAGAGAGAGAAAGGAGAGAGAGATATAGAGACAGGATAGAGAGATACAAAGAGAAAATATGAGGCAGAAAAAGAGAAAGGAAAAAGAGAAGGAAGGGACTGAGAGACAGAAAGAATATAGAGGGAGAGAAACAGAGAGAAGGCAGAAAGAAAGGAGAAAGAGGATGGAGAGAGAGAAAGGGACATAAAGAGAGAAAAGGATGGAGAGAGGAAAGAGACAGATGATAAAGAGAGAGGGAAAGGATTGAGAGAGATATACAGACAGTGAGCGAGTTACCTGCAGCTCATATATCACTCTAATACAGTTGAAGTCATAAGTTTACATCCACTTAGGTTGACATCATTAAAACTCATATAGTTTTAATAAGTTGTTTAGAACATCTACTTTGTACCTGAAACAAGCGATTTTCCCAACAAGTGTTTACAAACAGATTGTTTCCCTTATAATTCACTAATCAACGTTCCAGTGTGTCAGAAGTTTACATACACCAAGCTGACTGTGCCTTTAAATAGCTTGGAAAATTCCACAAAATGAGATCATGGCTTTAGAAGCTTCTGATAGGCTAACTGACATCATTTGAGTTAATTAGAGTTGTACCTGTGTCAGTATTTTAAGGCCTACCTTGACCTACCTAAGACCTACTTGCCTCTTTGCTTGACATTATGAGAAAATCAAAAGAAATCAAGACATCAGAAAAAGAATTGTGGACCTCCACAGGTCTGGTACATCCTTGGGAGCAATTTCCAACCGCCTGAAGGTACCACTTTCATCTGTTCAAATGATGATATGCTAGTTTAAACACCATGGGACCATGCAGCCATCATGCTTTTCAGGAAGGAGATGCATTCTGTCTCTTAGAGATGAATGTACTTTGGTGCAAAAAATACAAATCAATCCAAGAACAACAGCAAACGACCTTGTGAAGAACAACAATAAAACATGTCCTACATCGACACAACCTGAACGGCCGCTCAGCGAGGAAAAAGC